GTTCTGTGCCTCATGAAAGGCACAGTGATTTGTAGCCTTGAGTTTGACATTTTCTATTTGTCTGCCTGGAAAAGGAGATAACTTTTCCTCTCTTCCTCTCTCTTTCTTTCACTCTCTCCTTCCTGTTCTTTTTGCTCTGATTTAGCTGAGGGTCTGTCAAAGTTCTGCCAGCAAAGTTTGCTGCAACTTTGACATCACAAAGGCATCTGATCTTCACTTTTTTTTCTTTTTTTTTTTTCTTTTTTTAAGCAGGCTGATGTGGTACGTTGTAAACTGCCAGGAGCACTTGCTAATTTAGTACTTAATGACAGTCACAGAGAGTGTTTTTCTTGCCCCTGGAGAGGTTTTAGACACAGCTGGGGTAGATTTGCCACTATCAATTATGCACAATTTTAAACAAGAATTGGCCAGCAGGGGCCTCTTTTTTTTTTTGCAGAGTGCAGAGCATGAAGAATGGGAATATGGCAGCTGGTACCTGCCTGCGACAGAGAAGATATATAGGAGTCAGAAAACAAGGGAAAGATTAATAACTTACTATTTTTAAAGTTGCAGCTTCAACTCAAAAGTTTAAAAGCTGCATTAAAAGTGGCCCAGTATTGGCTGGGGGTGTGTTTTTGTTTTAATTCAAGCATCCTAACTTTGTTGCAAAGCTTGGCCTGGCCCTGGTATAGCCACAAGCAAGTCAGTGTCTCTGTTTTTAAAAGCCAGGTGGGATCAGGATCCTGTCTCAGATATTCAGTTGTGTTGTCTTTGCATCCCTAAATGAAAACAAGGTATGGATTTGATTGCATGGTATGATCTGATTTCACAGACAATAGTTCTATAAAAAGGGCTTGGCTCTGGGCTCCACTCCCCCAGTGTCACAATGGGAAATGCCAGGGGTGAGAATCTGACCTGAGCAAATGGCTCAGGTCTAGAACAGCCAACATCTGGATCCATCTAGGTCAGCCTCACGAAGCAGCTGTGCCTAAAGGACAGCCCTGGCTGCAGGCAGAGCTCCAGCATCTCCACATCTCCCTGGAGATGTGCAGGCAGCTGGCAGGGCAGTGGAGCCATCCTGGAGAGGGACTGTCCTTAGCAGGAGCATTCCTTATTCACAGGATTCCAGGGTTCAGGCACACCTGCTTCTCTTACAGCAGCACTCAAAATGTTTCCCTTCCAGGTGTTGGAAGCCAGTGTGGTTATCTCCAGAAAACAGGAAAACCACCACCAAATAAATTCTTGTGAGGCCAGCACTGAGCACTGCCAGTTGTTAATAACTTGGATTAAATGGGTTGGTTGCCATCTGGAACAAATGCAGCTCAGGATTAGCTGAATGCTGCTGTGTAGGTCACAAATCCTTCACTTATGGCATGGTTGGGACACATTTTTCCCAAAATCCTGTCTCAGAATCCAGGTTGAAATAACACCCCTGCCACCCCAGCTCTTCCCTCTCCTCCCCCATTTGCCTGGGGAAGCAGCAGGATGCTCTGGTGCCCTCCAGGCTCTGAGATGACACTGTCTGAATAGTCAGAAGTGGCTGGAATGCTCTTCTGGAATGCCAGATGGCTGGTAGGAAAACAGAGTTACATTCCAGCTGCTAGGGCTGGAATACATTTCATCACCATCCAAAGGCAGCAAGTTCTCATTTGACTGGGTACACAGTGAAGGTGTCATCATCATTATTAATTTGTTGGAATTTAATCTCTCTAATGTATCTGGAAGCTGCACTAGATTAGATAAATGATGTCAAGTACAGTGAGGAAGAGGCAGGATTCTGACACACGGATTTTTTTGTGCCTTTTAACATTTGTGTTCACAGTTTTATCAGCTATAAAAGCTGACAGGACTGGACCTTTTCCCACATATCCCTCTCCTGGGAGATGGAACAAAGGAGAGAGGACAGAGCTGAGCTTAGGAATCTCTCAGTGGGAGTCAGGGGGACATTTATCCTCAGAGGCTGCACCAACTTTCCCCCACAGTCTCCAGCTGGATGCCAGCGATTTCTGGTTGCCCACAGGTGGATTCTGACCCTGTGGCACAGCAGTGAGGATTCCTGGTGCCCTGTGGCCAGCCCTCCCTGCCCTTGGTGCTGAGTGACACCTCTCCCCCGCTGCAGCTGGGAGCTGTGGCAGAGGAGCTGTGCTGGATGCTGATCCAGCAGGGTAATGTCGTGTCCTTTGATATGAGCCCGTGTTTCCTCTCCTCCCTGTCTACCAGTTCTGATGACATCTGTTTCATATTTCCCCTTGATAGGAGTTGTGACATTACAACATGCAAAGCCTGGCTGATTCCTAAAGTGAGCTTTACAGGGGATGCATTTATGTGAGGAAACCACGCCTGCTGTGTGGAAGGGGCCAAGCTCTCCTTGGAGAGGAACCCAGTACGTGCAGGGAGTTGTTCCAGTTGCTGCTGGATCAAGGTCGTGGGTGCAGCCCTCTGTTATGAGGATTTCCAAGAGAAATCCACCCAATGTGTTCCCTGGGCAGTTGGAGGGTCAGCTTTGTTATGTGAGCAGAGTCACAGGAGCCTGAGCAAGGGACAGAGGCCAAATGTTGCCCACAAGCACCTTGAGGAGCTGCAGGGATGTGTCAGATAGCCAAGGCTGGCCCTCCCAGCCTGCCTCCATGTGAATGGGCTTTACTCCTGTGAGTAAACCTCCTGGGGCTGCCTAATAGACTGTGTGGGGTGTGTGTCTCCTTCCAAATGGTAATAAAGCTTTCTAATTGGAAGTGTTTTAAGTCTAGACTGTAGTTCTGTCAGTGCTTTTCCCCTTCATCTTTTTTTCCCCCTGCTTCTGAACGATTGTAAACTGACAGCCCTGGGGAGTGTTGTTTTCTCTCATCTGTGGGAGATGTGTGGGGTGGCAGGGTAAGGCATCCCACCTTCCACTGGAAGGACCCTTGGGTTGGGACTTTGTGCTGCTGTACAGCGGATTCTGTGTGTGCTCTTACACAGTGCACGTGGGGGAAAAAAATCCACATTAGCAGGGATGTCTGCACCCTCCCACATCTCCCCTCACTCCTCTTTAATGGTGACACCAGACTGGATAATAAGCAGCATCTTGTTTGGAAAAGAAGGGAGCCTCAGACAAGGCTTTCAGAGTTCATTTTGTTGGCAGCTTTTTAAGTGGAGTTTTTTAGGCTCTTCTGTTTCAAATACCATAATACTTTTTGTGTTCCTAACTATGAATTACGACAAGCTTTCTTGATATGCCAGGTTATAATCCTTCAGTGGGTTTGTTTATCTCAGGATATAATAGGAAGCCGTATCAATTATCATGACTGTATAAATGTTGTTCCTCTCTACTAGAATATTCATCTTGAGACATATCATCAGATGTTACCTGTTCTGACAATCACGTTTTTGTGCCATTGTTGGGCAACAGAAACAAAGAACAACAAAATGTTAAGAGTGTAAGGGATAAAAGAGTGCTGAAACTGTTGTTCTTTTCCTGTCTTTGGAATCTCCAAGATCTTGAATGTTTTATTCCTGGCTGTTATTTTGTTACCACAGTGTGAATAGAAGTCATTATCTGTAAACATTTGAAAAGAGAGATGATTTTCATAACTTTAAATCCTACAAAGGATTCTAGTAATCTGCTATGTGCATGCCAAGGTAAAGCTCAGCCTTTCATCTGGTCTGATCCCACCCAGTCAGTGTAAAATGTTCCTTTGGTGAATGTCTAAACCACGCAGTATCTCCTGTGAGAAGCAGACAAAAATGAAAACAGGAAGCCTGGCCTTGAAGGCAGCAGCAGGAGAAGGTGTGTTGTAAAGAAAGATGTATTTACAGCCTTCAGCTTGTGCTTCACTGGGGAAAATGATATTCATAGGTTCAAAGGAGCCTTATTTTTTATTTTGTTCTGAGCTAATTGTTAAATGTGATCTTTGTGCAGGTCTGCTCCAGGCTCCAATAGCTGGGGGACAGGGGATTCCTGTCTGCCCATGCTCAGCAGTTTGTCAGGAATCTTCTGCTGAGGAGCTTTTGAACACAAATGGAAAATTAACAGGAGCACTGTAATGAGCCAAAAAGACAAGGAATCAATGTGAGATGGGCACAGCAGTTTATATGCAACAGTGGGATGTGTCTGGGTGCATGTGGGGCTTGTTTTCTGGTTCTGCATCCACGTAAGGGAGTTTGTGTCATCTCTGTGGAATGGGTTGGCAAGTCCTGCTCCAGCCCCCAGTGAAAAGCTGTTCCTGTGTGGGACCCACCCCAGTGACACCGTGGGGCTGCCCCTCAGAGAGGCTCAGCAGCTCTGCCTCACTCAGGCTCAATGGGAATTGCAGGTTCTGATCTTCAAATGAAGCATTCAGCATTAATATTTCCTTTTAGCAGTGTCACCAGCAGGGCCCAGCCCTGCTGAGCTGCTCCCCGTGCCCTGGCAGGGCTGCTGGAGGGGACAGGGAATTGTCAGCAGCATCGTGGGGCTTGTGCTGTGTCCTAGCACCCATCCTGCTCTGAAGGATGCAGGGCAGCAGTGGGAGAGCAGAGGACTCACTCTGGGGGGAGACAAGGGCAAGAGGAGTGGAAGTGGACTGAAACAGCAGGAGGAAAATCCTTCTCATGGGCACTGGAGAAATGCATAATTCTGGCAGACAAGCTCTTTCTCTGTCCTTGACAGGAACAGCAGAGGTTTTTATTTATCTTTGGGGTCATGTCGTTGTGATTCTGTTTGCTGGGTGGGTTGGGAAGTGGATCTGGAGAAGTTCAGAGGGAGGTGCTGGGGTGGTGAGCAGGCTGGGACAGACTGAGAGAGGCTCCAGCTGCAATTGCCCAGCCTGAGCTGCCAGAGCACCCAGCACACACAGTCCTGTGCCAGAGAGCTCCTGCCCTGCTGAGCCTGCAGACCAAACACACGAGGAGAGGCTGTGCAGAATTCCTCTGCTCACACTCGTGACTCTGCAGGTTTGGGGCACTGTCACTGCTGCTCTTCCTTTGGTGAGGATTAACTCCCTCTCTGAGGGTCACAAGTGCTGCTCTCAGGATGTTAATTCATGTAATTGTGTTCTCCACAGGGTGTTCTTCTTTAATCTCCCCTACGAGGCCATCATGGAGCGCCTGTCCCAGCGGAGGACGGATCCTGTCACTGGGGAGAGGTGAGCACTCCTGCCTCATGTCCAACGTTTTCCTGACTGCCAGGGAGATGAAAGCACCAAATCGGCTCCTTAGCAATCTAAGGAGCTCAGGAATGCTCTACTCCTGCTTAGGGATTCCTTAAAAGAAGAGTTAAAACTTTCATAGCTCCTGAAGCACCAGCCCACCTCCCTGCTGCAGCAGCAGCTCAGAGCAGGGGGGTTTAAATCCTGGTGTCTGAAATCTACAGCAGCAAATAGCTCAGTCTAATATTTTAATGGTAACTCAATTGGTTGGGAAAATAATGCTGAGGGAAGATGTCTGAAACCTAGCCTAAATGCAGATGGTTTCAGACATTCCCATGGGAATTTTGAAGGTTTCCCAGCTGGGGAAAATGGAAAACTTGCTGCATTCTACTTCCCCAGGCTCCTGTGATGGTCCTGTCTGCTGGGAGGTATTGATGTGTTTCCTGCTCAGTAGAGCAAACTCCTTTGAGTCACTGAGTCACTGGAAGGTTGGTTTCTCTCACTGGTGTCACATCCCCTTGTCCCACCAGTGACCTTCAGCTTTCCTACCTTCTCCACCCTTGATTTCCAGGGAACAAATCACAAATAAATTTATGATTCCCCATGCATAATTTTTAAACCCTTCTCTTGCTTTTCTAAAGGCTGAGTGCATCCTATTGCATCAAAGACAAATCCTGAACCCTCCAAGATTAAGGCCAGAAGGAGTGGATTTGTCCCAAAGTGATGGATGATTATTCAGACATCTCACTCGAGGTGCAGCATTAACTTGTGACAGCAGCAGTGATTTGCTGTAACTGCTCTCTTTGCTTTAGTAATGAGCAATGTGGTTGTTCAGCAGAATGGAGCAGGCTGAAGCAAATCATTCCCACATCTTTGCATTTCTTATCATTAGGATTAGGCTGTTCAGTATCTGCTCCACTTCACACGCTTCCCTCTGCCACACTCTGGGGTTTATTCCTCACAAGTTCTCCGTGAATTGAATTCTTTTAGGTGCTGTGTCTAATCCTTGGCATGTGTAAAGCCTGCCCCTCTGGCTGCAGGGCAGGGGTGGCCTTCAGCTGTGCCCTAAATGATTCCCACGTGGAAGAACTCTGTGTCCACATCGTTGGGTGCAGCTCTGCAGAGGCACAGACTCTGCTGTCTCCTTGGTTTTGCATTTATCCCAAAATATCAGGAGTATATCCCAAAATATCCCAAATTTCAGGAAATTTGTCTGTACAGGAAGAGGGAGAAGCTGGTTTTGTGTTAGGGCAGAGGAGATCTTTAATCAGAGCTAGGATTACCAATTCTAACAGGGAATTTGAACACTTGATTGCAAAGGAACTTTCAGAGATTGTTGGGAGCCTTTGGCAATGCAGGAACATCATCAGAATTCCTTTGGTGTCAGCTGAGCTGAGCTGTGGCACTGCTACAGGACTCTGAGGATGAAAATCCTCTTTTCTGCTGAAGTAACTGAGGCAAGCCAGAGCTGTGAATTGAGGGAAGCCAAATTCTGGCATTTGGAAAATCAAAAATAACCAAAACCTATCTCAGGTGAATTAACCTCTTTTTACCTTCTGCTACTACATAAAAATGTTAGCAATTAAATGCCTGAGAGCCTTAGACACAGTTTAAGTGACGGGTCCCAGCAATGCTGGGTACAGGGCTGTGTTTATCTTTAATGTTAGGGGTTTTTTTAGATGCTTTTTTAAAGACCATCAGAATTCCTTTGGTGTCAGCTGAGCTGAGCTGTGGCACTGCTACAGGACTCTGAGGATGAAAATCCTCTTTTCTGCTGAAGTAACTGAGGCAAGCCAGAGCTGTGAATTGAGGGAAGCCAAATTCTGGCATTTGGAAAATCAAAAATAACCAAAACCTATCTCAGGTGAGTTAACCTCTTTTTACCTTCTGCTACTACACAAAAATGTTAGCAATTAAATGCCTGAGAGCCTTAGACACAGTTTAAGTGACGGGTCCCAGCAATGCTGGGTACAGGGCTGTGTTTATGTTTAATGTTAGGGTTTTTTAGATGCTTTTTTAAAGATGGGAATCAAAGATTACAAGTAAAAGATCTGGAAATGCTTCTGAACCCAGAGCACTGGGTCATGTAATAGAAATTTCTCCTTGTGTAGAGCAGACGAACACAACCATTGTCACCATCAGAGAAACCCTTGGCCTTTGAGGATCCAGGATTCTTGACAGATTACCTGCCCTGAAATTTCCAATCTTTGTTTTAAAACCCCAGCCTGGAGCAGAAAGAGGCCAAGGGACTGTGGCAGGTAAAAGCACGGAGTACCTGCAGAACTGGCTGCTGTGTCCCCAGGCTGAGCTGAAACCTTGGCATTTCTTCTCCTCTCCAGATACCACACCACATTCAGACCAGCTCCCACTCCAGAGATCCAGGCCAGGCTCAGGCAGAACCCCAAGGATGAGGAAGAAAATATTGAGAAGCGCCTGGACATCTATTACAGCAATGTCAAGGCCCTGCAGGATTTTTACCAAGATGCCTTTTATGTCAATGCTGACCAAGACCCTTATGTTATCTTTGAGTTCATAGAAAGTTGTATCATCAAGCCCCTTCCATGTAAAAAACATTAGAAGTTTATAATTCAAAGGGTTGATTTGTGGAAGAGTTGATTTTAAATTTTTCCCTGTAATATTTGCAGTCTGGTTGCTGGAGTGGCAGGTTATCACCAGGGAGGGGGAATTCAGCCAAGCTGTGCTAAATCTGAAGCTCACCAAGGCTGAGTGAAGTACTGAGGGTAAGAAATTGGGAAAGTTTTTTGGCTTTTGTTTCATGATGCAAGATACAAAACACCGTGGCTGGGGAAGTCCTGTGTTTAATTTAATAAATTTTTTTCTGTATCTGAATAGTAGTTTTGTCTTCACTATGTAAGACCCATGAAGCCAGTTTGGAGTATTAAAGCTGTTAGATGTGTTTGTGTGTTAATTCTCCACCAAAACCACCCAGGCACTCCTTGCCTCCCTCTGTCCCTGCAAGCAAACCCTTGGAACTTCAGGTGGAAAGACCTCGGTTGTCCCAGTGGCAATGGGGATTTTGTGTTATTTTGTGAAAATTTAGTCAGAATTTTTGATACTTTTGGGAGGGGAGGGGTGTTGATGGATGGGAATTGGACTTTCTAACCTTGAGGGCATCTCTGAAAGTCTCAGAATAAATACCTTTGAAACCTAAGAAAGCCAAATCCAAGCAATCTGAGTCCCTGGTGCTTCTTGAGCTGAGAAATTCCAGCCTGTAGCAGCAGGCTGAGGCAGAGGCTGCTCCCAGGCACAGGGGCCAGCCAAAACCCTTGTGTTCAGCTGGGCAAGGACATCTTTACCTGTTACAAATGTGCTGGTTGGTGACTGCTTGGGCAGCTGGGTTTTCTGCCACTGCTACGAAGATGTGCTGCAGCATTCATGCATAATTGGGAGCCCTTCTATTAATAATACATGGGAAGCTCATCTTGCTAATATCACCTTCATCTGAGCGTTCCTACTAAATATTTTGATAGATGAAATGGATAGAGAGTGTATTTAAATACTGTTTGTACTGCAGCTAGGGTACAAAAGGGACAGCGCATCTTTAATTAGACAGGTACATCTGCTTAATTAATTTAGCTGTAAAGCCCTTTTTCCTCTTCATTCTTTCATCTATATGCGGATGCTATATTAGTTCCGCTCCGCTGGTTCCATAGAAACTGAGAAAAAGAGCTCAGTCTCATTGAGATGCACTTGGCATGTCTGGGTAGGAGTCTCAGGTCAGTGGTCAACCCCCAAGGGTTTGCAGCAGGCCTGAAGTGCAGAACGTCAGGGTTAGCAGAACATGCTAATACTCATGTAGAACTCTCCCTCAGAAACAACTAAAACAATTGACATTCATTTAATTACTGTAAACGAAACAGCCCCTGCATGACTTTGCATAGTAAAGCCTGTTAATACCAAAAAGGTTCAGTGGGTGGAAGCAGGAATTAGGCTTTTATAATTGGAATGCAACACTTGAAAACCAATTTGGTAACTAGGCGTGATTTTATTAGCATCTTATTCTGGCAAAACAAATGTTGAGCAATGAGAAAAACAAGGTGAAGGGGAGGTGGTAGGAGCACAGCAGGGATCAGACGTTACTGATTGCACAGCTTTGCCCAGGTCTGGAATGGACATCTTCCATCACTCTGCTTCCCAGACACACTTTGTGGAGAGGGCTGCCTGGAGCTTGTGCTGTAAATTGTAATAAGTCATGCTGTTAATTACGTAGTTTAGCAACAAGGTTGATTTGTCCAACTGTTCCACAAAGTTTTGTGTCCACCAGCTCTGGACAGCAGATCCTTCAGTGGTGGAAGGGCACTTGGACACCCCCAGGCAGGAGATCCCCTCCTCCAGCAGCACCTCTGCAGGGACTCCCTGTGGCTCTCCAAGGAATTCCCTGCTCTCACTTTTCCCTGTGAGGGAATGGAGTTGACCCCAACCTGCTCTGTGGTGAGAGCTCTGAGGAGCAGGGATGGCTCCTCCTCCTCCTCTCTCCCAAGGAATATTTATTGTCTTTATGTATGCACTGACAACCACAGTATTTCCTCTCTAGAAATACACAAATGGATTAATAGGGTGAGGAAACACCAAAGGAAAGGGTGACTGAATGATGAAGTCCCAGAGCCATAAATGAACTGAGGTAAAAGGCAGCAATGAGGTCCCTCACCACCAATCCCAGAGCAGGGGGTGAAATTTGGAGACACAGGACTGAGTCTTTGTGACCCCAAACTTCCTTCTTAGTTCCAAGAATGGCACCTAGTACCAAGACACTGTACAATCCAGAGCTGTTCCATTTATCCATCCAACTTGGATTAGTATGATTTCTTCATCCCAGTGGAGGAGGGATTAACTCCCAATGTGATACCAGCATGAGCAGCAGATCTTAAATGCTGTCAGGAGCTCCTCTTCAGGGAAAATGACACTTTAGCTCTGGACAAACAGGATCTCTGCCTGTTAATTCTCAGCTGCAAGTATCATAATCCATTAAAAAAAAAAAAGAGCAGCAGGAACCCTCAGTCTCTGCTGGAATGTTGCTCTCCCTCTGGAGATGAGGGCCCTTGAACACCCAGTGTTCACCACCAAATGGTGAAGGAGTTGACATCTTCCAACTAGTCACTTGTTTGAAGTATCCTGCAAAACTTGGGCAAAAACTTATGGAGATAAACTCCAGTTCTGTGGGATTTGTTCTTTGAACACTTCAGTTGGTGTCTCAAAACAGACTGGGCCTTGATAGATGTGTTGGTTTGAGGAGGCAGCTCTGATAATGGCAAAATAACACAAGGGTCTGGCAGCAGGTCTCGTTCTTGCTCCCCTTCCCTGTGAGGTGACAGCAAGGTTTGCTCAGGACAAGAGCAGGACCAACCCTTGTGTGCCCAGAACTGCCCCTCACAAATCTGAGGCATAAAAAGATTCCTGGAGCAGCCTCAGTGCTCACTGGGCAGCCAAACCCACTCAGGTCAGCACCAGGGGTTAAATGTTACTGAGTGAGGTGGGCTCTGCAATTCTGGCTAAAAATGCACTTAGGGACAAGTGCTGGTTTACACAGAAATTAAATCCAAATTCCTCTGTACCTGTTGTGAACAGGTCAGGGGGAAGAGTGAAAGCTTTTTGCTAAAGGATCTCCACTGGCAGACAAAGACAACATCGTTGGCTTTAAAAATCCATTTTCCCAGAAGTCTGAAACCAGGTTAAATAAACTCCCAGAAGTCTGAAACCAGGTTAAATAAACTGGCAATGGCAGACTGAGCATCGAGTGCCTTGAAAGGCAGGCAAAATAAACATTAATGCTGCAATGTTAATGTGAGGTGTGCTAGAGCTTCTCCATGGCAAAGCATTAAAACTCAGTCCAGGGAAATTCAAGAGAACTGCCAGAAATGATCAGCAAGAACCAATCTAATCTGTTATCATGAGAACCTTTGGGTCAGCCAGGCTTAAACACTTCAGTAGGTCAGGATGGCCAAAGAAATGTTCTTTGACTTTTCTGAAAGCGCTGGGACAGGGTTCTGCAGGGCTCCCTCCCCTTCTCCACAGGCAGGAGAATTTCTAAACTGGAACATTTACTGATGAGCTCTCACAGCTGCCAGGGCAAGGACTTGCAGCTTCCATTTAAAAAGCCTTCTCCACCACCAGGAATAAACCCCTACTCAGCTCATAGGAAAAGGGAGGTTCTGTTCCCCCAGGCCCCACCAGCACTGGGAGTTTTGTCCCAGGTACCAGAGCTGGCCCCAAACTCACACACGTTGGGTATTGAGGTTACTCCTTGCTTTACTGGATACCAACACGAGCTACATTTCCCTTCTCTGCAGACACACTGAAGTAATTTCAATTTTCAATGCACAGCAATAAAAAACTAAATGTTTCTTTAATACAATTATGGTATCACTTCCAAGGATATTTACAAACAAGGCTAATTATTTTACAGATGAATGTGCTTCTGCTGTTTCTAGGCTACTACAGCAATGTTCTTATCAGTCAATGCATGATCATGCTTAATGCATGAGACACGGAGCAGAAGGACAGCTGACTTCTTTAATGTTTGCTGAAAAAAAATTGCTCCGATTAAAGGTGAAGGAACATTAACAAAATATGCATAGTCATTGAATGGAGGAAACAAGCACCAATCACACAAGCACTGGTGGGAGACTGAGTCTCAGCACAATTCCATGATTTCTCAAGAGCTGTAGAGCACCTCCCACACAGTGGAAGTGTAAGGAGTCACAGACAGGGAGACACCTCTGTGAGTGGTACTCTGCAGAATGGAAATACACAAACTCAGGATTATTTGACAGCATGGATTGAAGCTAACAAGACAAACTGTACCAAGTAACCACACACATTTGGGAGGTATTATTCCTCTAACACTGCATAGGAGGTTGAAAAGGATTCTGCTCCCTGTAGGAACAGATGATAAAAAAGGATGGTTTTTCTGATAGACAATTAGAAGGCAAAATAAATTTCTGGAGTTGGCCACTTGAGATGGAGAAATTCTACAAGAGCCTGGAGTGACAGGATAAGGGGGAATGGCTCCAAAAGGGTTACATGGGATATTAGAAACAAATTCTTCCTTGTGAGGGTGGGGAGGCCCTGGCTGTGGCTGCCCCTGGATCCCTGGCAGTGCCCAAGGCCAGGCTGGACAGGGCTGGGAGCAGCCTGGGACAGTGGGAGGTGTCCCTGCCATGGCAGGGGTGGAATGAGATGAGCTTTATGGTCCCATCCAACCCAAACCGTTCTGGGATACACAAAGAGTTTCACAAAACTGTCAGCTGGGAGTGATTATTTGTGTGTCAGATTTGTATAAAACTCAGGTGCTGTATGAGGGAGACTCTCAGTTTAATTGACAGTAGTGTTAATTGGTAATGCTTTTGGTAACTGAGTTTCTCTGGAAAAGAGGATTCCTCTTGGTAGAGGGTTAAGTGAAACCAAAGGCAAATACTTTGGCAAGAGCTGGGAAGGAGTTAGAACTTAGTTCAGAAAAAGAAAGTGGGGCAAGAGAATTAAGAGCATTGGAAATTTTATATATATGTATATATATTAGTGTTTAAGCTAATTGCTATTAGTTTAATAATTATTATTATTATTATATTTCAAAATTATCCTTACTGATCCCAGGCAGCCAATATCACCTTTCTGACTGAAACACTGTTACAGTTCTGAGGCTGTTACTCTCCTAGACTTTCAGTGAAATTCATGTAATGGCCAAACTCTCTCCTATGGCTGTAACTGGCATCTGCTCCTCTGGGCAAGGACTGGAACCATGGATTATCTGGAGAGTTCCATGTTCTACAGCAAATGCCAGGGTGGTTAAAAAGCAAAGGAGAGACTGCACGCTGCAGCCTTCTCTACCCACCAAGACCATTCAGGAGGCAGCTCTGCTGTTCCCATCCCACTTTTGGGAACTGACACTGGTGTCAGGCAGAAAGGACAATTCCCACTGTGCTCAACCCTCCAGTTCTTGACAGTGTCCAGCTGCTGAGGCTTCCTTGGGTGCATTTCCAAACAGCTTTAAACTGGCTCTTCCAGGTGCATTCCTGTTTCTGGAGCGTGGAATGGGCTCTGGATTTCAGGAGTTTGTAGAACCTGTGATGTTCTATGTACAGGGCAGTGGACAAGGTGTTCTCCCTCCAGCAGAGTCTGTGTTCCTGGCTCTGTATCCTCCCAGGCTGAAGGGAGCTTATGCAGTAGAGAAAATACTTTCAGTCTTGACACAGCTTTTCTCTAGAACACAGGAGAATCACAGAAGGTGCAAGGTCCCTGCAATAACCTCTTGATCCATTCAGGATCTGCAAATAAGAAAACAAGTTGTTTAAATCTGGAGGCAGAGATGAACAGAGGAATGACACCTGAGATGCACAAACTCAACAGGAATCCTGGACAGTTTGCAGGAGTGACTGAAAAGTCAGTGAAATCCAACTCTGTTTCTGCCCTAAAATTTCAAGTAATGCCAGATTAAATTCCACCTCAGCAGGGGACACAATTAAGGTGAAAACTCCATACTTTATCTTTACATGCTCATAGCTATATAGGAAAAAAAAATGTAAAGGATCATCATGGAACTGCAGCGTTCTCATTTTCTAAACTGAAATTAGATCCCTCACATAACACAGTCCTTGGTTCCTGTTTCTTTATCCCTCTTGCAGAACTGGATGCTGATATATTCAACTTGAATATCAAACTAACTACTGGAGCATTCCAGCACAGATTATGTGTTTACCCAGCTTTCATTAAAATGTGGATTTATACCGCAATTTCTGCAGTTATTAATTTCCAATTAACGTGTCACTAATACCCAGACAACACCAGGACACTGTGAAATGCAGAGCTTCACATGGGAATTGCCTAAAAGAGTAAAATCAGTGAAACAAACTCAAGCCATTTTGTAGGTAACAGTTAAAAAGCCCCAATCCTGCCCCTTTTGGCCCCAGGAACATTTTACCTTCTGGGGTTGGGTGCCGTGCAATGCTGTCGTGAAGCAAACACCTCCTGTACACCAAACTCTGGCAGGACTGGTAGGTGAGAAAGCACCTGTGAAAGGACAAGCAGTTTTATCAAGAGGTTTGGGGTTTATTCTTTTATGACCTGCTCCTGGAGGAGCCTGGGTTCTGTTCACAGTTTGCTTTATGAGAGTAAAGGCAGTAATGAACCACATTAGATATGAAAATTAATATTTGTTAACTTCCCTAGCGTACCAAATTGCATATGGACACAAAAATGAAAGGTCAAAACTCAATATATCATTGACAAAAGAATTCTAGCATACAGTAGAGGAGGTGAAAATCTTGAGGCCTTACTGCACAGGGAAGAACCAGGGTGTCCTTAAGGCCATGACTATTTACCCAAACTAGCACACAAAACCTGTTAGGTACAGCTTTTCTCTGTGACAAACTGGTGACACAGCTCCAGAGACGATCTCCATGTACCTCCCACACTGGTACAGAAAGATTTCATTTTCTAAAATTTCAAATTCTAATATTTCATTTTCTAAAATTTAATTTCATTTGTCTGACTTCTGAATGTGCCTGTTCTCAATCACTTCTTGTTAAACTGCTTTTGTTTTCAAATGCTGAAGGAGCTTGAACAAACCTTCCCTCAAGTGATGTTCCAAAGGATGACTTATCCTCGATTTTCCCCTGACTGCTTTCTCCCTGACCCCATATTCCCCATAAAAAAAGATGCTTAAAACCATTTTATTATAAAAACATTGTCCTGCTAAGAGAACCAATCCAATCTCCAGCGCCCTGGCTTTTATGGAAGAGGACAGAAAAAAAACTGCAGCATGGCTAAGATGCCTCATGCCTTTTCACTCCAGTGCTAATAGGTGGTTCAGGGAGCTCCTGAGGAATGTGTGAATGCCCAGAGGGGACGAGCTCCGGGTGCCTGAGCCATTACCTGAGCCAGATGTGGCCATTACCTGAGCCAGATGTGGCCTTACCTGAGCCAGATGTGGCCTGAGCCATTACCTGAGCCAGATGTGGCCATTACCTGAGCCAGATGTGGCCGTTGGAGCACACGGCCTGCTTGCGGTCGGTGAAGGGCAGGATCTCCTTGCACAGACTGCAGTGCTCAGGGAAGGTCTGCTTGTTCATCTTCTTCAGGATGTGCCCAATCAGCACCTGCAACACACGGGAGGCACTCAGTGACACAGCCAGGGTGGGAATGTAGTTCAGGAACACCTCACTGTGGTTTGAGTGACACAGAATAGGCTGAATCCCAAAAAATCAAAGTGTAAGAAGTACAATGTATCCGTAAGTATTCATTTCTTCTCCTGTTCTCCTAAAGATTTCTGTCTCACACTAAAGGGATACAGACTTTAAAAACAGTAATTCCTTGCAAATTTTAAAAGTACTGAAAGAACTGATATCACATCACTGACCATAACAGCAATCTTTTCCCTCATGCCTATCACAGTGGATGTGCTAAAAAAAACATTCCTGTTCAGAAATTACCTGGATGTCTTCAGCACTCATCTGGGAGTACAATGTTTATAGCACATTTATGTGATCAAATTTGTCTGTGACATTTCAATAGATATAAACCACATCCCAGGGACCTTTAAAGTGTGACAGCAAACACAGTAGATAAAATACAATTTAGAAGTCGCTTTTCATCGCTATAAAAAAGAAACAAGATTCTTCTAAGATAAGAAAAGCAACCTCTCAAACTTTCAATTCATATTAACTGATGCCAGAAGAACCCAGCAGTTGCCAGAGCACTTTGCTAGTGAGTTACTGATGGCCACACTTGGCTGTGATGCCAGCAGGGAGAACACCACACTACACCAGCTCTTAACATCAGGACTGCAGTGTGATTGACTAGAGGAAATACTCCTGAATTTGACTTGTGCAAAGATGATGGATTAAATAAACTGAGTAATGAAAACAAACATCCCTCAATCAGTTCATGTTCTAAACCACTGACAGAAGCACAGTAACCCCAGTCCTCTCCCCAGTTCTCCAAAAACTCAGGCATCTTTATTCTTTATTGATCCAAATTTCAACATCTGTATTTACATTCTCTCCTATTCCACAATACCAAGGAAGGACAATTTAAGCTGAATGCTCTACAGAATCTCACTGGCAAGGATGACATGACCACAGCTCTCCTTCCCAGCCCAGCTGTATTTTCAGGACTGGGGACAAGGAAGTGACAGTGACACAGAATCCCCTGAGCAGAGGTGCCACTTACTCGTGCTGTTCTGTCATCGTAGCCATCATCAGACATTAGGAAGTCACAGACTCCTCTGGTGGGAATGCTGGTGTTCTCTGTAATCCACGTGTGCAGGTAAACTTCTCCCAACACCCGTTTCATGTGTTCTCGTGTCAGGTGCATTTCTACAGCCTCAATCTGTGCCTGTATTTCAAGAAGCTTTTCTACCATTGGCTCACGGCCTCCAGTGTCACCTGACTGATGGAGAGAATCCTCTGCAGTGTCATCAATGTCCACACCTTTGCCTGTGTCCCCCAGGCTCTGCTTGCTGGCTTGTTTTGAAGTTCCTTCCTCTTGATCATCTTCAGTGCTGCCCATCCCAGGGGAATCTGATATCAAGATTTTGGCATCCTCGTGTGAAGGTCTCCACGTGACCTCTGAGGGGGCTTTCTGCATCGACTGGTACAAAATCCTCAAGAGAAACAACTTAAACCTCCAGAAGTAAGTGGAACCACAGCTCTCTATCTTTTTATCCAGCGCCTCCTGTAAGAACTGAGGAATGTGCTTATCCTTCAAGATTTTCCAGCGTACAAGATCCGTCAAGTCCACTTGCCTGAAAAGGTTCTGAACGGAAGATTCCAAGAGCTGTGCAGCTGCCTCCTCAAAAGTCTTGAGGGTGACAAACTGCACTTGGTAGTTTTTGTTGACCGGGTGCAGCCCGTTGGCCATGCCCTCGGTGGTGATGACCGCCAGGTACGCCCCGCAGGGGCTGACGGCGATTCCGTGAGTCCTGACACAGCCAAACACCTCCGAGAGCTTTATCAGCTGGTGCTCAAACTTTAAAGCAACGTCTGTGAATATGGGGATGAGCTGCCTGACCTTGCCATCGCTGGAGCAGGTGTACACCGTGCCGTTCTGCTTGTCCGCAGTCATGGAGACAATGGGCAGGGAGTGCAGCCCCGTCACGTGGGAATTGTGCACGTTCAGCCCCGCTTTGGATATCAGCAGCAGGCACCAGAACACGTAAGGGCCTCTCGCGGCCACCACCAGGCTGCAGCTGCATTTCTGGTAGGGGTGGTAGAGAGGGATGCATTTGATGCTGTGCACGGGCAGCTGGTCCATCTCCTGCCACAAGACCACGGGCTGCCTCAGCGTGAAGTAGCCTTTGACCGCCTTGAGGTTGACGGGGATGATCTTCACGGGGCCGTAGGCGCTGCCCACGATCAGCCCGCTCATCTTGCGGTTGCTGTGCTCGTACTCCCACCAGGACAACACGCTGGGGGAGCTTATCCCCGACTCGATGGTATTGCAGGAAGTGATGGATTCCTTGCCCAGGAAGGGCAGCTGGAACTGCCACACGGCGATGTTGCCGTTCTCGAAGAGCACGGCCAGGAGCACGCTGCCCACGTCGCGGCACTCGTTGTTGTGCTTCACCTGCTGCGTGGTGCAGATGCCCGACCACTCCATGCGCACCGGGGCCTGCATGCTGTGCCGCCGCTGGAACTCGGGGAAGTCTCCCAGCTCCCCGCAGGGAGCGTCAGCCTTGCACAGCCTGTAGCCGGCCTCCAAGAGGCGCTCGCCGTAGAGCTCGGTCAGGTCCACCAGCTGCACCCACTGCAGCCGGTTGAGGTTGGCGTGGATGCTCAGGCGGTTGTCCATGGTCAGGGCGGCCAGCAGGCACCTCCCGTTGGCGTCACAGCCCAGAGGGGACCAGCTGGAGTATTTGAAACCCCGCATGGGGGTCAGGGACTTCCCCTCGGGGTTGAACACCCGGTCCAGCATGAAGGTCTGGCTGATGGTGGGATCCACCGAGCTGGCGAATTTCTCCTTGCACTCAGCCACCTCCTTCTTTGGGCCGACCTAAAAGAGAACAGAAAGAGCCTTTAAAACTATTGTACAGCTGGTTTTTTTTTAGGAAGACTTTCCTGGAATGAATTCTCTCTTCAAACAGAGCATCCCCAATCACCACCACTGGTTAATTGCTGTCACTCCTAAAGACTTCAGCTTCACTAATGAATTTGCATAGTTTTGACTCTCAGCTACTGAATTTTTGTCTGCTGAATCAAAGAGCCTGCCTTCATACTTTTGTTCCTTTAAAGATACCTGGCATAATATGTAAATACTCAGTATCTCAACTCTATTCCATATTCTCAGCATTGTTTTGGAAAATAAAATCAGATTCACAACAACAAAAGTATTATTCAATAAGATATCCACCCACATCTGCCATCTTTGTGAAAAGTCAGATGTTCCCCTGAAGGCCAGAGAAATCCCTGCTGCAAAAATCCTTCAGCCTAGGTAGCAAAACAAAGGATGATTCTACTTAAAGTTGTATTGAAATAACTGTACTGGAGCTCAAGCGATTCTCAGTAAAACAGCAGAGCTTCAAAACCCCTGCACATCACTGGGATATGGTTTTCTCTCTCCTGTGCTTTTAAAATGAGAGCCTGCAGAAAGTTCTGGGCAGGGAAGGGCCCCAAGAGGAGGATCAGAATCCTGGGATGGGTCAGGCTGGAAGGGACCACAGTGATTCTCCAGAACCTTTATGGATTCTGCACAGGTAAAAAGTTCTTCTCGTGTTCAGGCGCAGCTGTTTATCAGTTTACACTCGTTTCTCTTGTCTTACTGCTCGGCACCACGGTGAAAAACCACAGAACCATTAAAGTTGGGAAAGCCTCTGGGATCACGCAGTGCAGCCCGTGCCCCATCCCCACCTCGTCACCCAGCCCGAGCCCCGAGTGCTCCTCCAGTCGTTCCCTGAACACCTCCGAGCCCGGTGGCTCCCTGGGCAGCCCATTCCGAGCCCGACCGCCCCTCCTGTGAGGAAACTCCCGAGTCCAACCTGCGCCTCCCCGTTCACACATTCACACACACTGACGAGCCCGTGCCAGGCGCTCACCTTGAGCATGCAGGCGGCGGCGGGCGCGGGCACGGCGGTGCGGTGGATCACCATGTCCTGCCCGCCGCTGTGCACGTCGCTGAGCTGCTCCAGCACGGCGATGCTGCGGGCCGTGCTCACCGACACCCGGTGGTCCTCGGACCACGCCAGCGGCTCCAGCCCGCTGGCGCCGTGCTGCAGCCGCACCGCCGGCTCTCGCCGCACCGCCGTGAGCCGGAACCCGGCGCTCGCTGCCGCCGCCGCCGCCTCCTCCGCGGCCGCCTCGAGCGCCAGCGGCGGCTCCTCCC